GATGCTGCCCTGGCCTCCCTGTTCCCTCTCAGCCTCGCCAGTCTGATTCACACATAGCAGCCAGGCCAAGCAACATGGAGAGTGGCCTCAGCGGCAGGCCCTCACCACACACCATCACCAGTAGCACACTTCCATATGCACACGTGCAAGCACACGCGCGCGCACACAGATGTCCCCTCTGAGCCCAGCTGACAGACTCTACAGGGACCCAAGCAGGTTGGTCTGTTTAGACAAGCCAATCTAGGGCACAAGTGGATGGTTTTGTTTCTTTCTTGCCCATCTTTTTCTTTTTTCCTTCTATTTGCAAAACTGCCCTTTAAGCCATGCTGACTACAATGGCTTGCAGCTCACCCTGGGAGATGGCTGCGTGGTCAGCCAGTTGGGGGTCTTTGATTTCCCTCTCCTTGTGAAATTTGACGTGAAAGGTCTACAAGGACGACTTTGGGGTCCATGCGGCCACTGCCTTTGTCTCATGGCCACGGCCATTCCAGGGTGAGGGTCTGGGGTGACGGAGCAGGCGTGTGCAGGTGGTGTAGCTGCAGAGGGCAGGGTGGCCAAAGACAGGGCCACAGCCACGAGAACAATGGGCAGTAGGCGTGAGTCCACCTGTCTGATTGCCCACCCACCCCCCTGTCCGTCCATCTATCTGCTTGCCACCAGCTTACCTCACCTGCATGGCTCTGAACTCCACATGGTGCTTGTCCCTCCTGCCGTCCGCCATGTCGGGCCCAGCTGGTCAAGCACTCAAGGCCACTTCAGGAAGCGGCTGACTCGTGGCCACTGCGTGGCTGAAGGAAGAACAAGTGTGACTCTGGGCTGCAGCTACGGCTCCTGCACCGATTGGCTGAGGCAGGGACCAGATGACGGTCCTCAGAACCCTATGGTAGCCATGGCAACCAGCCCCTTTAGACACCGCCACCCCCGAGCCATTCCTGACTGCCAGGGGAGCAGGCAGCACCACTGATGGGCCCATGCTGGTCCCCTCAGAGGTTGCTAGTGGTCTGGTCAGGTGGTGATGACCCCCACACCAAGTACTAAGTGGCTGTGTGTGACCCCTGTGGGGTCTCTGTCCTTCCTAGGAGGCTCATCCATACACTGCCTGGACCCCTAATGAGGCAGAGAAGCAGCTATCACTCAGTCCCTGCTGAGAGGACTTCAGGTCAGGCTTGCCTCAAAGGGCAGAGACCAGGCCCAGGCAAAGCAATGGGAGGAAAGACAGGGAATCCCATGTGCACAGATCCAAACAGGAACCCACCTCAGACCCCAGAGGCCCCCTCATACTCCACTAGCCATCACCATGACATGGACCATGATGCTGACGCCAGCTGCTCTAGTGACTCTGTCCCTGCTCTTACAGCCCTAAGTACCCAGCTCCTTAAGTCCTTTAGGGCTTCCTGGATGGCAGTGTGGGCATGGAACACTGCTGGGGCACCCTCATCTGTACAAATGTAAACCTGGGTCAGCATCCACAGCCAAGTCTTCCTAAGTGGTCCAATCCCATCTTCGAGGCCTGGTCCAGCCATACCTACCAAATGGATAGGTGGTCCTAGATAGGTTCAGGATTTCCAGGGAACAGGTGTGTGGGGCCCTAGGCAGGTCCCTGGAGTCACATGAGGTCAAACATTCTAAAGAGGGGCTGAGTTGGGGCAGGAGCCTGGGTTTATTTCTCAGCCACATCTTGTCCAGGGTCAGGCTGGTGTGTGCTACAAGCCTGGGTAGACTGGCATGGCTGGGTAAGCAGATCTGAGTGCAGCTTCATTCTGAAGTGTCAGGAAAAGGGAGAACCAACACTAGTGACATGCTCTCTGGACTCAGTTGCAGCTTGGGGTGGCCAGCCAGTGTTGGTGGGAAGACCTGAGCCCTGTGCCTGAGGGTGCCACTAAAGAAACCTACCTTTGGAGGTGGCAGGGCTGCACCTTAGGTGACCAGTAGTGGTGACCCAAGTAGCTGACCACTGCAGCAGCAGGGTTGTGCACATCAAGATGGAGATCCCAGTAGCTGACCATAGGAGTCCATGAGTGTGGGCATGAGAGTAAATGAAAAATAACTCGAATTCATTGCTGTTGAGTCAGAACCAACTCATAGCTGACCCTCCAGAGGGTTTTCAATCACAAGTGAGAACACTGCCGTCTTTCTTCTGCAGAGAAACTAGTGGATTCAAACCATCTCCCTTTGGGTGCAGTACAACCCCTTACCTAGTAGGCCATCTATGAGCACAGGAGAGGTGAAAATCTGGGAGTGACCACAGCAGTGGCATAGTGGCTGACGTGAAAGTGGAGGCCCATGTGACTGGGCAGGTTCACTGTGTCCTTGTCCTCTTGTCCTGGGCTCTTTTGCCTTCCCACTCCCTGATAGGACCCCAGGAAGGAGTAAAGCTCCCTGGACTGCCCCTCCGTCACTCTACACCTCCCTACTATCTGTACTACTCCTGTGAGCAGGACCTGAAGGCAGGTGGGGGCAGGGATGTGGAATGAGCACCACAGGCCAGCCTCTCTCCCAGATGCCCCTGCTGACAACTGTCCACTTCCCTCAGTCTCAAGGCCTTTCATGGGTCCTGGGGCAGATCTTTCTAGCTTCCCCTGGATGCTGGCCATTGAGATTGTGGACACTGTGGTTTTAACCAGGTGCATTTGTGCTGGGCACTGCCCACTGAGGACCTGTCTGCTGCCACACCTGGAAAGGCTTCATTCAGCCACAGTACGTCTCCTTTTTTTAAATTAATTTTTATGGAAGTTTACAGAGACTTTGGATTTGTTGTATTTTTCTCTCTGCTCACCCCTCCCCCCACCCCAGTTCACTCTTCTCTTTGAAAAGTAAAATTCTTTCATTTATATACAATCCTCCCCACCCTGAGTACACTCCACTATGCAACCTTCATTCTGGACTTCGGTCATGACCATAATACCCAATCATATACTGCTTTTAAACAGTTCTCTCCCTCATCTGATTCAATGTAGTAAACATAATTGATCTAATCTTTCTCAGTCTCACCCCAAAACTGATGTCAGTCCCATTCCACAAAAGTGGCACTATGCAGTATTTATCCTTCTGTGACTGAGATATTTCATTCAGCATAACGTCCTCCAGGGTCACCCGTTTTGAATATTTCATGAGTTCCTTGTTTTTCAATGCCGCATAGTATTCCACTGTGTGGATACACCAGAGCTTCTCTATCCATTCGTTTGTTGATAGGCACTTAGGTTGTTTCCAACTATTGGCTATTGTGAACAAAGCCGCAGTAAACATGGATGTGCACAGTACATTTTCATATACAGCACTGAAGGTGGTGTGTGTCCAAGTACACATGCTTGGGTATTTAGGTGTCTGAACATGTCTGCATGTGTGGGCATGTATGTATATTTGGGTCTGCATGTATTCATATTTGAGTGTCTGTGTTTATACACATGTATATGTGCAGGTGTGTAAGTATGTTTGAGCAAGTGTGTCTATTCTGTGTATGCATGTGTACATGCATATTCAAGCATGTTCCCCTATACACAACTTGCCTCCCAGAGGAGGGGCAGCAGGAACACTGCCCGCTAAGGTCCTGTCATTGAACTTGTGGTTTTGGGGAGAGGATGCTTTTGATTTACTGGGACAATGTGACACTCCCACCACAGAAAACCTTGTGTTTCCAGGGACTCTGGGCCCAGCTTCCTTGCTCTGCAGCTACTGCAGTCTGCATTACCGATCAATCCAGGCGAGGAGATACCTCTGGTTATGGGTGAAGGGGCCCCACAGAGTCCCGCCCTCGTCAGCAGTGCTGGGGCTGGCGGTCAGCCATGGCCCCAGGCCCAGCACGCAGTCACGGCTCAAAGAGTCAACAAAAACTTGGCAAATCCACAGGGCCTGTTGTCGCTGATAGAGACCCAGGCCTGGACCCTTGGGATCTCTGGAATCTGACCTCTCTGCTGGGCGGGAACCAGAGAATTGAGGAGATGGGGGACAGAGCTCCAGGACAAAGGGCTAGGCTGGGGCAGCAGCAGCAGCCCATCAACAGGAAGGTGTGAGGAGTCAAATGGCTAACCACAGGGCCCTTGGTGCTGAGACTGGGCTGGCCCAAGAAACGCCATGCCAACTAGTGCTGGGGGTGACACAGGTGCGGATCTTCAAGCCAGGAAGGGTGGGCTGGCCACTCACTGAGCAGGGCTGTTGTGGGAACTACTTGTTGCGGGGGCCCCAATTACTCAAGGAAACCTGGAGGAATCAGGGGTTATAACAGCACTTCCCAGGGGACAGACTAGGGGCTTGGGAAAGTAGAGATGCCCACCATCAAGACAAGGCCCCACAAAGGACTAGAGCATTTTGCAGGGATGAGGGAATGCATATTTAGGGTTGTGTTTCCCTCAATACTCAACGGAATCTCAGATTCCCATGCAAAGTTGGGGCACCCCCTCAACTCTCAGGGCAAGGATACCCCCCCACACACAACCTCAACTGACCTAGCTCTACCTGGGCAATAGGGCCAGCAGTATGAGCTCAGCTCTCATTGACTCTGAGAGCTGGGAGGATGTTCTATAATGTTCAGGCTGGGTTGTGCAACGGGGGAAACAACTTCTCTTAGAGAATATGAAACACTGAACCCAAAGAAGCCTAGCACAGAGTAGGCTGTTCCCAATGGCAGGTCTCAACATGTAGGGGACAACTGCAGGGAATTGCCTCCTGGTTGTACCCACATGCCCACTGTCCCCAGGCTTCCAACAATGAAAAAATGACACACAGGGCCTGGCTCAGACTTTACTACCTCTTCCCTACAGGCACAGGCAAGTCCCATGGAAGTAGTGGGCCTCAGCAGGGATGGAAGGGACCAAGGGGCAGTGAGGAGGCCCAGCCTCAGGGGGATGCACCAGGATCCTACAAGAGGCCCCTCAGTTCCCAGACTCCACCTGAGTCATGCTGAAAATGCCAGCACCCAGTCTAGCATCACCTACTGCCCACAATGCCCCCTGGACCCTCAGGTTCTTCATCCAGAGTTCACATTGCCATGTCACGTTGCCACACTACTTCTCGCCAGCCTTCTGCAGCACTGCTGGCTCAGAAAGTGCCTGATGCTGCAGCTGCTCCACTAGCTCAGCCATGTAGACCTTGAACAGGGGGATGGGGTCCTGCAGGAAGGGGATCTCATGAGTCCCAAATGCTCTGTGCTCCCGTGAACCTATGCGGACCCCAGCCCCAGCCTGCACTTCAGGGAAGTGATCAAGGTGATGAGGCAGGAGAGGAGGGAGAGAAAACCATGGCAACAAGAGCCCAGCTTTGCCCACCAAGAATACCTGTCCAGAAAGCCCAAGAGAGCACATCAAAGAGTCGGGAGGAAGAAAAGTGATCTAGCTGTCCCCGCACTTTCTCCTTCCCTCCCCCAGACTCCACTGTTCCCAACTCCCTGTGTAAGGACTTCTCCCCGAAGCCCCCACTCCTCTATGTACAAGTTCCTCCTTCCACACACACCTTCACCTCCAGGAGCCTCTGCTTCTCCACCGCCTCCTCCAGTGTCAGGCCCACCCACTCTGCCTCTTCCTCAGGGATAACAAAATCCTGGGTATCAGGGAGGGAAAGGTGTGGTTGGCATTCAAGGTTCGCCTGTTAGCCTCAGAGGCTGCAAGGGACCAGGGACTGCAGGTAATGCTCCACCTTGTACTTGTCATAGATGGCTGTCCTCAGGGCTGGGTCATCTGGGTGCAGCTGCGGGTCCTGCCGGGCTAGGCGCAGGAGCATCCCTCGCTTTAGGTCCATCCCGAACTTGGAGCACAGGTCCTGTTTTGGAGTCTGCAGAATGCAGACATGGGCCCATTCCCTCCACTGTAGCTCTCTCACCTAGACTCACCCCTAGTGACCACCCACCTTTCTCTAGCCTCTGCTCCCATGGGGTGTACCTCCTCAATTCCCAGCCATGGTTCCCCATATCCCAGCCTGCCTTTAGGATGTAGAAGTCAAACCCATAGGCCTGGTCAATGAGGTCCAGTGTCCTCATGGTCACGGTCACAGAGAATTTCTTGTCTAGGATCTCACTGTACAGCTCTCGCTGGAACAACTGTGGCTTCCAGATCTTCTTCACCCTCTTGGAACGCTGATGACCAGGAAAGACCCCGAGTGAGACCCCTGAGGACAGCTGCTCAACCCCTTCTCTTTCCATCCCACCTCACCATGGACCTGGTTGCCCCGCAAGAGTAAGCTTTATTCAGACTGCCTGTGACCCAGGCAACCTGCTCACAGCCTATACCTCACAGCCATCACCGTCCAACTCAGAGGCCAGAGCACAGACACTGTCTAGCAGGCAGATTCACTGAACACAATTCCTCTGGGATAGCATGGTGCAGCTCTGTCTCCTGCAAGCAGTCTGCCACCAGAACAGTGTAAAGAGAACCGAGGACTAAAGCTAAGCCCCCTTGCCTGGCCCCAAGCCCCATAATGGTGCCCTCATCTCAGGTCTGCAACTTTTAGTTGCTTTCAAAGTCATGACAAAGTTCATGTGTTGCCATCAGGGCTGGTCAGTGCCCCTCTAGTTCAGAGATAGGTATAGAGGCCTGCAGCCATCCAAAGTCCACTTGGCCCAGCCCAGCTCACCCACCTTGTGGTCACTGGTGTATCTGTGGCCCAGAATCCAGCCTTCGCCACCCCACAGCCCCAGCTGGGACTCTGGGGGATGGTAGAGAGGTATGGGTACATCTTCCACACGCTCTCGCTGCCCGTTCTTGGGGTTGATCTTGAATTTGACCCCGTGGGGCCGGTAGTGGACCGGAGTGGGTGTGGGTGTCTCCTCTAGGGAGCGCAGGTAGTGCTTGGGGAGGCGAGAGTAGATGCCCTCCTGAAGCCGTAACTGCTTCCAGAGGTGGACCGGGAACTTGTGCAGGGGCATGGCGGCAGGCTGGAGGGACAGAGGGCAGGTCACACACAGCTGGGCTCCATCCGGTGCGTCTGGTCCTCACCCGTGACCCCGCCCTTGACCCAGTGCCCACCTCCAACACCTTCAACTCTATTCTCACCCCATCTTTACCCGTGACCTCATATTCACCTCAATCCCATCCTCATCACCCACGCCATCATCACCCAAACACCACAACCAGTCCCAATCCCATCGTCACGCCAAGCCTACCCTCCCCCTTGACACCATCTTCACCGTGACTAGATCTTAACCGGACCATACTTCTACACACGACACAAGCTCCACGCTAGTCTAGAGTCTGATCCCCATTCTGACTCTAGCCCACCGCAGCCCTCACTTCCGTCCTATCAAAAAGACCCCTAAACCGGGAACCCGGTTTACACTCACTCGAGTTACCCGGGCACCGCCGGAACAGGAAGTACGTAAAAATCCCACCTACTTACAAGCCGATTGGTTGAAGAACCTATTCATCTGCTTCCGGCTTCCTCCTGCACTTTAGGGACTGTTGTTAGTGTTCTGCGCAGACAGTGGTGGTTCAAGGCACCGTCCGCAAAGTGCTGTCCCGGGCTCCCACGAACGACTAACCGGGCTGGAAAGTCTGAAGTTTATAACAGTGTGCTAACCAGACTTTGAACCATGCATTTTTTTCTTGCTCTGTTCTGACAACTGCTTCCTGGTCCAAATATAGGTTTCGTTTGAGCACAAGCAAGTGTTGTGGGATTCCCGTTCTTCTCAAGATTAGCGACAATTTGTTGTAATCACTTTTTGTAGTCAGTGAAACTCAGGCAGTGCCCTGGTACTCTCTCTGCTTTCAGCCAAAATCCAGCTGACATAGGCTATGATGTCCCTAGTGTCACAGCCTCTTCTAAACCCAGCTTGTATTTCTGGTAGTTTTCTGTTTTGGTTTTGTTGTTGTTTTAAGTATTTCTTTCTCCCCCCCCCCCCCCCC